TCTATCTATCTATCTATCTATCTATCTATCTATCTATCTATCTATCTATCTATCTAATTTCCCAATAATGGAGAGGTAATGCATTTATGTGGGTAGGTATATGTCTGCATATACATTGCGAAAATAAATAGTCTAGATTTCACTACCAGCAGTTGTCATAGCAACCTGTGGTACCTACATGAGTTGGCACACTTTTGAATATATTCAGAAAGTTATTGTATAACAATGAACAAATGCCACATATTCAGATACATGAACTTCAGAAAATGCAAATAGGTGATTGCTCTGTTCGATTCACTATTCAAAGCTAAGAAAATCAAATCTAAGAAAGGACATATCTCTCTGCTGCTTAAATGTTTATAAAAACTAATTTGGACAACTAATAATTTATTATAATGGTCAGAAATATACAGAGACACAATTGGTAAAACTGATTAAAAATGTATATACGGATTGATAAGATAGAAGATGGAAGAACAGCCATGATGGACATGATGAAGACAAATTGTCACCACTAATGTTGCTGTTAATTATTTTTTCTTTAAAAGTGTATGATAACTGAATTGCAGTTGGCATTATTGACATTAAAATATTATTCAAAATATTATAATGAGTTTCAACATGTGTTATGGGAAAAGTAAAGGACTGTGGGTTTTAAAGGCAAGTTACAAATTGTTGGTAAGCTTTGGGCCAGTCTTCTGCAGGAAGTAACTATTTCCCCCCACCTGCCTTAATTTATCTTAATCACTAGATAAAATTTTTGAGAGAAATGTGGAGGTTTTTGTTTCAATTGAAGAATTTAAGGGTGAATTTATTGAGGTGAACTTCAAGAATTAAAATGGTAGGGATATTCCCCCATTTTCTAAGTTGGTGATTTTCCGCTGAAGAAAAGTGTAAAATATCCATGGAAGTTAAGGCAATGAGAATTTTTGGCAAAACTGAACACCTTTAGAGGTATTCTTCCAACTCCTAATGCAGGCATCTATCTGAAAAAGCTTTCTAAAAAAGCTTTTGCTAATGACAAATTTTCCAAGTGGATATAAGAACTGTCAAAGAAATCTTGATCCAATTTGGAAAAGCTATCCAATTAAAAAAAAGGTTGTTATTAATTCAGGCTAACAACCGTTTCATGGAATCTAATATTATTTTTATGAAATGCTTGCATGGATAGATCGGTAAACTTTACTGATTTACGTACATCCTCGTGCCTGAAATTTTCCTTAAAGCAGTTATCAATATCACACTTGACCCTGCTAATTTGTGTTTATTTATTTTGTTTCATTTAACATTTACATTTACACCATTTGATTTTACATGTTATTTTCTGTTTAATGCGCAGAGAGCCGAAGGCAGCTGTTATAGAATTCTTATTTTTTTTACTTCTTACTCTGATAAAAGAGGTGATTTAGAAGTTTTCATGTTTGCCCTGTATTTACTATAGCATGCACTCTTAAGCATGCACAGACTGCAATTGGGAAGTAGTAAGACTTTTTTTTTCATACATTCAACTTTAAAGAGGTCCCATACCAGTTTACAGTCATATACATTAAACAAAGAACAAATTCAAAAGATCAATCTAACAATGACAAAAAACTTGAAAGAATGGCAAAACCTAAACTACCAAGAATCACTCTCAGTGAAAGTGAAAAATGTTCAAAAACAAGATCTGTGCAAAGAGAATAGAAAACCCCAACATTAGGGAATTATATAAAATTGAGAATATAGTAATACCAACTGTTTAGGCTTACATACTGCTCCATTATTACATCTCTCTTGGCAGTTTACAATGTAAGCAGTGAAGGGATTTAGCCAGTTCACACCACTTTGGGAGAAGTGGTTGTTAACTTTCTGAGCAGTTTGGGGAACTGGTTGCTGGAAGAAATCATTAGGGCAGAGAACAGGTTGTTAAATTATTTGAATCCCACCACTGAATGTAAGCATTATTTGCATATTACCTCCAACAAATTGGAACCTCATTTCACTGATCTTGGAAGTATTGAAGGCTGAGTCAACCTTGAAACCATCAGGACTGAACTCCAAGCTGTGAGCACAATCTGCCTGCAATCCTGTAAACCAGTTTAGATCTAAAACAATAAGTATCCTGCTGGTGGCAAATCTTTAGATCTGTTCAGTTGTTGTGTATGTGTGTTTGTGTGGTTTAGGAGACGGATTTTGAAATACTGACTTCATTGTAAAGAATTAGGATTGTCCAATTAGGTGCTATGCATTGAGACAGTTTTGGGTGTTTTTTTCCACCTTCATTTTGGTTAGTGTTTATTTTTTGATATGCTGTGTAATCTTTTTCTCCCCTGTTTGAAGAAGAGTTTACTCCCCGCTTTCTCTGCTGCTGGCATCTAACTAAGTTTATCCAATTCATGAAGCTACCTGGAAGATGGATCTTAGATAAAACATATTACTAAGTTACAAGAAAGAGAGGGAGACAGTGTGTTGCAGGTGTCATTCAGATAAGCGTCACTTTGAGGAGTTAATATCTGTATCTGCATTACATTCTAATTGATGGGTCTGTCTGCTGCTTGAAAAGCATTAAATTGCCAACTGCTTATGTGATGGAATCTCTATAGTCAAAACTATGAATGAGAATGAAATCTCGCTCCTGAAGTCAGTTTAGAAAACAATTTCTTGAGAATTCATTTTAAATGTTTAGATTAGAAGTCAGGGTTCTATTTTAAGGGCATGTCTGTTCAGATAGAAAGGGGCTAAAATGGCCACCCCTTCCACTTTGTCATTATAGAAGCCATTTTTGGAAAGAATATCAGCTGAGACATGATTCTGATACATCTAAAATAGGAGGGAGATGAAAGAAGAGGAAAAAGTATGACCTCCCCCAATCAGATCTGTAGAATAAATTTCAAGTGTATTGATGATTCAGGAAGAACCATTTGTTTATATACAGATTACAAAAATAAAAATAAAACTATATCCAGAAGACAGCATTTTATTGAGGAATTGGAGATAAAGGAATATCATTCTTAAATTTCTATCATAAGACAGTATTTCTCACTTTGTAGATTACTTAATGATTATTTATTTTTACCAGTACAATACTCCTCCTCCTCCTCCTCCTCCTCCTCCTCCGCTTCCTGCTTTTTTATGATTATATATGGATATCTTCAGTTAGTCAGAAGAAATAAAGTTCATTTCAAAGGAATACTTCTCTTTTAACTAACACGCTCACAATGTAAAGCATGTGAGACATAAGGAAATGGACCAAGAAGAAAGGAAAGAAAAAAATGGTTGGTTAGGTCAGTAAATAAGAAAAATAGGTGGAATTACATTATTGGTCACAATAATAGCAGAAGTGAACTGGTTGATATCTGAATTAGCAAATGGTGGTGCTTATATTCTACCAGCATATTAAGGATTATTTTTAAAAGGGTTATATTCATCTTCCAGTGTTTTATTTATTTAATAATTTTATGCCACCCATTTTGCTTCCAGAAATGACTCAGATATGAAAGGAAACATGTCATTTAGAATCTTAGAGTAGGAATAGCCATTTTGGCCATCCATGCTAAAGTCTGCCACATTTGGGAATCCAAATTATTATAATCCCAACAATTGATTACACAAATATTCTGTTTTAACACATTCACCTACCCAAATCCCTCCATTTAACTTACTTCTATTTGTCTCATTCATTTGTCTTTACATATTTATAATTTTATAAGTTTTATGTTAACAATATTAATTGTATTAATATTTAGCACATAGAATAACAGAGTTGGAAGGGACCTTGGAGGTCTTCTAGTCCAACCCTCTGCTCAAGCAGGAGACCCTATACGGTTTCAGACAAATGGTTGTCCAGTCTCTTTTTGAATGTCTCCAGTGATGGAGCACCCACAACTTCTAAAGGCAAGCTTATTCCATTGGTTGATTGTGCTAAGCATTAGGAAAGTTCTTAGTTATACGTTGCTTCTCTCCTTGGTTAGTTTCCATACATTGTTTCTTACCTTGCTTTCTGGTGCTTTGGAAAATAAGTTGATCCTCTCATCCAATGGTGGGATTCAAAAAAATTTACTACCAGTTCTGTGGGTGTGGCTTGGTGGGCATGGCATGACTCGGTGAATGTGGCAGGGGAAGGATACTGCAAAATCTCCATTCCCACCCTACTCCAGGGGAAGAATACTACAAAATCTCCATTCCCTCCACAACCCACTAACCTGCTTTCCATCTCCGTTCTCCTGTGCAGGGCAACAAAAGAAGACTCAGCCAATCAGCTGGGACTAGGGAGGCAGAGAATAGATGGGGGAAAGGCTAATCAGAGGTGGTATTTGCTGGTTCTCTGAACTACTCAAAATTTCCGCTACCAGTTCTCCAGAACTGGTTAGAACCTGGTGAATACCACCTCTACTCTCATCTTTATAGGTCAAATATTGGACACTGCTATCATATCTCCCCTAATCCTAGATATACTCAATTCCTGTAATTTATTTATTTATATTTATTTTTATGTATGTATGTATGTAATTTATTTATTTAATTTATTTATTTTTAATATGTTTATTTGTTTTAACTAGTTTTATTGGATGCTACCTAAAGGCATGTTTGTAAAATTGGTGGCTGATGAATAAATGAATTGCTCTTTTACTTAAGGAAGTTTTTTTTTAATCCCAACTAAAATCTGCTTTTAGTGTATTTTTTAAAAAAATATTATTATGTGTCCTGTTTTGACCTTGGTCTGTGTCATTTTTTTCCAGGCATTTGAACATGGCTACCCTATTTTTCTTCCTTGGTCTTTTCTTCTCAAGGCTGAATATATCTTCCTTCTTTAAGCTTTCATCCTAGTTTGCATACTTTATATTTATACATATTTAATGCAACAGCTAAAAGGATGGCTTACCAAAAAGTCCATGGAGATCAGAATGCACAGTATTTAGATAGCGAAGACCTTCAAGCCACTTCCCTGGAGTTAGAATGGGACATGGAGAAAGAACTGGAGGAGCTGAGCTTTGACCATTTTACTTTGGATAGAGCAGTCCACCAACCAACTGAGAATAGTCAAAATGCTGACTTGGAGTCTATTCAACCATCAGCATCTCCCAAAGGAAGATTTGAAAGACTCCAGGAAGATCTGGATTATATTTCACACCGGACACAGCACCCACCAAAGAACAATTGCTGCAGCTTTTGCTGGATATTTAAGCTATTTTGCACTGCTACGAGTCTATTTATTTTGGGGATTTTGATAGGCTACTATGGACATGCACAATGCCCACCTCTATCAACATCTTCAGAAGCCAGTAAACCTGCCATCATTCAGGATATTCTTAAAGGTATCGAAGCAAAAGATCTTGCACACATTTTCAGGTAAATGCTATATTTCTGCTTTTTAGTTGGATGATGCTGTCAAAAATATCTTGTTTTTATTTATTACTGTGTTTATCTTTCACCTGTTCTATAGGGGCTCAAGGAAAAATACCTCTATGGAGGTATTTTTCATTTTATCCCTTCAGCAACACCTCTAGCAGGTAGATTGGAGTATGAATCTTCTGCCAAAAATAAGGGATTCAGAATGGGGAGAAGCAAGACTTAACAGCCACGTTGGGTCCAAAGTCTGATAATATGTCTCTTTCGCTGAGGGATGTATCTTCCTTTTCTCATCTCTTTCTAAATCGTAGCTTAAGGGTAATTTTAAAATTTATAACCAAATCCGTGGACAGAAATGATCACCAGTGTAAGATGACATATGACTACCATCTGTTTATCATGAATTGGATGATTCATAATGTTTCATCTTCTTCAGCAAGGTATTTTTCACATTGTGAAGATATACATCAATAGAAATGACCTGCTGAATACCTTTAGGTGTTGTCGAAGTTTGTGAATCCTTTTGAATTTTCAATATTTCTGCATAAAGATGATGTAAAGCATGATCTGCTCTCTGCACAAGTCCTAAAAGTAGATAAAGGGAACCCAATTAAACAAATGAACCAAAAATATTTTATTTGCACATTTATTTATTGAAGAAACTAATCAAAGCTCCATATTTATGTATGATAAAAGTATGTAAATCTCTAGGATTATCACTTCATTTGAAGGGGAAATTAGAGTCAGGTGTTACAATCAATGGAATAATGAACAGGTGTGAGTATAGAAGATCCTGCCTTGTTTAAAGGTAAAGGTAAAAGTTCCCCTCGCACATACGTGCTATTCATTTCCAGCTGCAGGGGGTGGTGCTTGTCTCCATTACAAAGCCAAAGAGCCAGCCCTGTCAGAAGATGTCTCTGTGGTCATGTGGCCAGCATGACTAAATGCTGAAGGCGCATGGAACATTGTTACCTTCCCACCAGAGTGGTCCCTATTTTTCTACTTGCATTTTTACATGCTTTCAAACTGCTAGGTTAGCAGAAGCTGAGACAAGTAATGGGAGCTCACTCAATTACATGGTGCTAGGGATTCTAACTGCCAAACTGCAACTGTTCTGATAGACAAGCTCAGCATCTTAGCCACTGAGCCACCGAACAACAATGTTGGATATTCATGATCGAAGTTTGGTTTTCGCAACCCAAGTTTGTGAAAATGTGTTATGATTCAAACAAAGTAGATTACACAAGTTTATCCAAAGCATTCCACCAGTTCACTGTCTGGCATAATTGTAAACAAATGGAGACAATTCAATACATTATTAGACTCCCATTCCCAGGACTGAGTGAATGTAACCATACCAGAGCAAGACATATAATAATCTAGGAGGTCTCAAAGAAAAGTAATATAAGGAAAAGCTTAAGGCTTCTCTTACATTGGCAAATGTCAGTATTCATGAGACCACCATTAGTAGGATACTGAACAACAATAGCCTGAAGGGCCAGGTGCCATTGTTTTCCAAAAAGAAGATTGTGTCTCATCTATGATTTCCAAAAGATCATGTAAATATACCAGAAGAATATTGGAACAATGTTCTGTGAACCACTGAGACCAAAATAGAACATTTTGGATTGGATGAGAAGTGTTATGCTTGGCAAAAAGCAAACACTGTATTCCAGCATAAGACCCTTATCCCAATTGCAAAACATAAATTCAAAAGGATTCACAAACTTCTAAGCATCACTGTATACCGTATATAGGAAAATGAGTTCTATCAATTTATTTGGCATTGAATATTTTGACTTAATGGCTTATTTATTGGCTTTTTGCATTAATTTTATTGTTTGATAATTGTTCTTCTTCCAGAAGTACATTTTGCAAAGATAATGTTGGTCTTTTATGGAGGAAATTAGGCTGTGTTTACAAAAATGCATTTAACCAGGTCCATTAAAGATCTGCTTGGAATATCCACACAATATTGTTTTGATTAGTGTTAACTTGGAAGATGTATCTTTTTCAAGTGCGCTGTGCAAACTTATCCTATTTGCTTAGCTATAGTGCTAAAATGTAGTGTGCAATTTCAGGAATGGATTTATTTATTCAGTGATCAGGTTAAGTGTGTTTGTGAACATAGCCACTCAACAATAGGTTGGGTAAGGAATGCATTGATTAAACAGTACCAAGATTTATTGAACATTGCTGAGTGAATCTTCATAGCAATATCTCTAGATATAAAGTTTCATTTCACAGGTAGAAATAAATCCCTTAGGCCTATTCAGAAGAAACTCGGGGACTACAGATAAATAATCTTTATTGAATAAAGTAGGAAGCCATCATCAAAGATTTCAGCAACTGCTGTGATTCAAAAACACACACTATTTTACAAAAACTGTCTTGCAGTTTGTTTTCCTGTCTACCTACCTACATAGTGGTTTATTCGCTGGTTTGTTTTTCTTTGTCCTTTGTTTTTATAATCTTCAGCTTTGCTGTCATCTTGCTTCTTCCTGGCTGTGTGAGAATAAATCCTCTCACTGTTTTTTTTTAATGTAAATGTTTCTGAGACTAAATTACAGATTGCTGAAATTGGCATAGTTCAACTTGTTTAAATTATTCAACTATGGAATAAAAAAAAAGTTGGTCACTGAAAAATAATACTTCGTAGCATTAAATGAAGCCTTTGCTTAGGGTGCTTATCTTGCAACTTTTGTGAAGTTCAAGGTAAACTGAAGAACTTCTTGTTTTGTACAAAGAGGAATATTGCACAGATGTACAAAAGAGCAGGAATTTAGTCACATGGTTGTGATCACCATCTTGTAGTGGAATCTCTAGCTAGACTGGAGGGAAGTGTTAAAAAAGGACTTAGCTTAGAATCCTTGCATCACTGAAAGTTCACCCAAGAATCCCTGAATTATTATCTGATCAATTCTTCAAGGAATGCAGTTAGTCTGGAGAGATTCTTGTAACATAAGTGACTAATAATGAAGCTGCTGCTTAAGACTATTCACAAGTGGTTCTGGTTGCGTACATCTGATACATCCTGACCTTTTTAGAAATCCCTTTGTGGATGTCCCATTTCTGTCACTTAGCCCTGTTGAATGTGTGAATTGTTATGCTGGGGGGAATGTGGTGGTTAAATTTAATGTTTGCATTACATTTTTTTACTATGTCAACCTACATTATATATATTCAGAAGTTTTTATGTCTGCTTTTGGTATAATATATGCACTGGCTCACTTTACACTGCACATTTAATCAAGTCATTTAACAACTTTATTCACACCACTTGCTCCCCCTTGTTAATCTGGAAAGGGTTAGTCTGGTTTACTGTGATGTGGCTTACGTTGTGTTAATCCAGAAAGTGGTTTGGTTAGTTTATGATTCAGTGCATTTTGCAAATCTGGAAACTAGATTAAATCACTAAGCGGTTTGAATATGTGATATTAGGCCAACTAATCTGTGTACCAGAGGAGCTTTTGTTTCCATTAGCTATCGGGGAGAAAATATGCCATTTCTCCCTAGCAAAATAAGATCCTGAGCTAGTGAAATAAACAAGACAGAAATAGGAAATGAGAAAATAGGAAATAGGAAATCATTGATTCAAATTGAACAACCTAAGTTTCCAGAATTTTATCTTTTATCAACATAAATAAAAATATATAATAGTTCTTCCATTTGTATTGGACACAGGGCAAAAATGTGGTATATGTATGCATGTATGCATGTGTATACATTTGTGTGTGCATGTGTATTTTTATCTCTTATCAATTCCCTACCTGACGTTTTTTGTAGGATTCTGAAACTGCATACTTTACATGTGGTTTGATTTCAATTTAGTGACTGGCTTGAGGCTAGCCACTTTTTTCAGGCTTATCCATCTCCAGATTTGTTCTAGATTAGGGGTGTCAAACTTGATTTCATTGAGGGCCACATGAGGGTTGTGTTTGACCTTGGGGGCTGGCAGGCATAGCCAGGGTGAGCATGGCCAGCTCAACATCATTCATGTCAGGAGTGCCTGTGGCAGCCTGAGCGTTCTGCCAGCGAAAATGGGCTCCCAAGCTCTGTTTTCGGCTGCAACGGCTTCCTGCAACCCTCTGCCAGAAAAAATGAATCTCGGGAGGCGTGCACTCACTGAACCAGTTGTTACAGCACCCCTGATTCTAGCTCACTACTAGATTAAGAAGTTAGCCTTGATTGTAATATATGAAAAATGGTTTACAACTTCTGAGAAACAATGTGGATTTTCTTCAGTGAAGAGATTTGAGATTTGAAGATGGGATGTTTTACTTAACCAAAGAGAAAAGCCATCTTATTTATCATGTTGACAAAGGGAGGCTGTTATGTCCTCGGGGCTGACACCAGTTCTCCATCAGGTCCGCTCTTCCTGCGGGGGCGTTTACACCCCCCATTGGTTGGCTCCCTTCGACAGCCGGCTATAAAAGCCGGCTGCTAGGTTGAGCCAGCCGCTGTTCGCTGGCAAGTCTGCTGTTAGCAATGCAGACGCGACAGCCCCCTTTATTTCCGAATAAAGCGTGTTTTGAGAAATGCTCTGGCGTGGCCTCCCTCCTTTTCGAGATCTAACAGAGGCCTATGTAGAATGGGTTTCTAGCACAAGATGTACAGTATGAGGGACCTGAATCGGGTTCCAGAGTAGAGGAAAGCATGATCTCTTATCTTTACTGCTGGAAACTAGGAAGGACATATTGTTTCGTTAAAAGCTTTTCAAGGGAGTGATTCATTAAAAGTTTCCTTGAAGTCCAATGAACCTAAAAGTACCATATGTTAACTCAATCAGTAATATTATATAATGTCATTATATATTCTGAAATTCTGTCAAAAAGTTAAAACTTTTGAATTTTGTCTTGGACAGATCCTTTGGCTTGTAATGTTTTTCTATCACCATACAATATTAGACTGACTGTCACAATTATGTAGACAAACTTTAAGAACACATCATTTATTTATAAATCTTGCTCCTTCCTCACAAAACCTCTGTGTTTGTCCTT